CCCTGTACCTCCCCACCTGTACCTCCCCACCTGTACCTCCCCACCTGTACCTCCTCACCTGTACCTCCCCACCTGTACCTCTCCACCTGTACCTCTCTACTTGTCTGGTTGACCGGGCGAGGCCTCTACTTGTGAGACTAAACCGCCCGTGATCAGGTTGTTCACCTTGGCTGAGAAAATGAGTGAAGGAGCCACGACGAGTGGGTGGAAGAAATTAAGTATTAAAACAGGCTTGGGTTTATTACAAGGCGGCGCGCGCGCTTCCTCAAATAAATTTTTTCATGCGGGCGGTGAAGAAACCAGTTCGTGTAACCGTTATTTGGATTTTATTTGCTCTCACATTCGGCACCGAACACGTCTCATAAATGTGTACGCCGCAAAGAGAATACGCGTGTAGAATTGTAGATATCCTATGAGCATGATGGTAGGGTTCGCTGACAAGGCTACAGACATCTGTCTAGACTGTTAGATCTCAACTCGGGAGGAGTGGGGTGCAGCTAGTGAAACACGGTGGAAGTATTTGCGAGCGATATATCTGCTTTCCGCGAATTATCTCTGTTATAACTCGAACTTATAACTGTCACGCGTGTGATCTTGTTGTTGACTCGATCCCGCTGACGCGTGCTGCATGTTTGATGTTTTACCAAGGGCGCCATATTTCACGTAAACTTTTGAGTGTCTGTAACGCGCAGACGCGTGTTAAAGCTAGGTTTACAGTATCAACCTTTAGTTGAAATGTTGATGCGTTGACAAATCTTTCAACTTCGTAAACGTGAAGTTGAGCGCTCAACCAATTGTTGTCAATTAGAGAATAGAACATGTTCTAATTTCTCAACCCTTTGCCGTCCAACCACTCTGACAGATAATAGCTTTTAGGTGGTGTGCTCCCCACCCAGCCTAATGGAATTTATGTGTTACGTAGCATTCCTACCCAGCGCGTGAACCGAGGCATGTGTGATTAATAAGAGGTTCTTACTACCTCTCTTCATCCGCCCCCGCCTTCACGTTTCACTGTGATTGTGCTGTTAACTCCGCGGTGACAATATTATACGTATTATATATATATATATATATATATATATATATATATATATATATATAGGCCGCTGACGCATCCTTCCTTGAAAAGAATTTATTTAATTTTGATGTGATGCTCGGTATAATATTTGGGTCATCATAATGGTCTGCTAGAACCTAGTGTCTAGCAGAGTGTGAGGTCGAGGTAGACTGGCCGTGGGAAATCAAACCTGTGTTAGAGACGTTGCGTGTGTTCGCCACGGGCGTAGGAATGTCTTCTGCCGGAATTGAACGTCTATCATTGCTAGAAAAAAAATGTTACTGTCATGTTGAATGCATGTAAAATGTAGCTTACGCGTGTTTGTATGTTAGAATGTTAGTACGTGGTTCTGTACGGTATAATAACTCTACAGCCCGAGCTACCGTCACGTTGCTGAACCGAAACTTGAAACGAGAACAAAATTACGTTCATTGCGCTTCGTCAAAACTTGTCTAAACGATGGGTTATGTGTTGTATGTAGTAACATCTTGTAATTTTGTTTTGTAGCAGAGAAAGGTGGAACGAAATCGGGCAAGGAGGATGGAGACGTAACGTCCAAGAACAAGAGAAATGACAGCAGAAGACACACACTGGCCAATGGCATAGACTACAGCATGGTTAGTAAAATATGTATATAAATAAATAAATAAATATATATATATATTATATATATGTATATATATTTACACTCACATATACACACATTTCTCTCTTCCTCTCACTCTTCTTCTCACTCTTGATCTCTCCCTCCCACCTCTCCTCTCGTTCACGCCGCCTTTCCCCTCTTCTATCTGCCTCCTGCTCTCTCTTCCTCCCTCCTCCCTTCTACTCTCTCTTCAATGAGTGGTCTAGTACTACAGATTTACTTCCCAACCTATACCTCTCCACCTGTACCTCCCCACCTGTACCTCCCCACCTGTACCT